GTAGCATGTATCATACTTAATGATGAAACACTGAGAAATGTCCTTAAGGTAAGAACAAACACGGGCATCTACACAACTGCTTCTAGTCAGCCTTCTACTGTGATGGTTGGCATGGCAAGAAAAAGATATGAAGATTAGAAAGATATAAATTTGTCATTTGCAAAAGATAAAAAAGAAAACACACACACAAAAAAACCTTTACATAAATTGTTAGGTTAAAAAATAGTAAAATTGGCTCAGCACCTATAGCTCTGTGGCTAGGGTGCCAGCCTCATACACTGGAGCTGGTGGGTTCGAATCCAGCCCAGGCACAACCAAAAAATAGCCAGGCACTGTGGTGGGTGCCTGTCATCCCAGCTACTTGAGAGGCTGAGGCAATAATTCGAATCATTTAAGCCCAAGAGTTTGAGGTTGCTGTGAGCTGTGATGCCACGGCACATAATAAATAAATAAATAAAGTAAAATTACTGGCTTCAAAATTCAACTGAATTTCTATACAGCAGCAACAAACAAAATTAAAAAGATGACTTTTACTATGATATCTAAAATACAAACCTCTAATAAGAAATCTAACAAAAAATATGCAAGATATCAGAATCATATGCAACTCTTTCAAGATTCATTAAGACCCACTTAAATAGAGACAGAGCATCTATTCATGAGGGAGAAAACTCTGCATCACACAAAATGTCAACTCTCCCCAACCTGCTCTGCAGTGGCAAATAACGCCCAATCATGGAACAGAGTTATCTGTGGAACTTAAAAAGATAAGTCTAAAAGTTGTAAAGTCAGTTCAACCCTACCTCATGCCATGTTCAAGTTAACTGAAGATGAACAGACCTAAAAGTTACAACTATAAAGCTTCTAGAAAAAAAGCACAGAAAAATATCTTGATGACCTTGAGATCTCTTAGACAGGATACCAACAAACTAACAAAAAAATAAATAAATGAACTGGATTTCATGAAAACCAAAAACTTCTCATCAAAAAACACCATAAAGAAATGACTGGGAGAAAATATTCACACATCAGGTGGCGCCTGTGGCTCAAAAGGGTAGGGCGCTGGCCCCATATGCTGGAGGCGGTGGGTTCAAACCCAGCCGCAGCCAAAAAAAGAAAATATTCACAATCCACCTATTTAACAAAAGACATCTACTTAAGCTACATAAAAACTTCCCACAATTTGGCCAGGCTCAGTGGCTCATTCCTATAGTCCCAGCACTTTGGGAGACTGAGGCAGAAGCTCAGCACCAGTGTGAGTAATGTAGCAGGATCTCATTTCTACCAAAATTTATTTATTTATTATTTTTTTTAAGACAGAGTCTCTTACCCTGTCACCCTGGGTAGAGTGCCATGGCACTGCACCTCACAACAACCTTAAACTCTTGAGCTCAAGTCATCCCCTTGCCTCAACCTCTCACGCAGCTGGGACTACAGGTGCCCACCACGACATCTGGCTATTTTTAGAGATGGGGGGTCTCACTCTTACTCAGGCTGGTCTTTAACTCCTGAGCTCAGGCAATCCACTCACCTCGGCCTCTCAGAGTGCTGGAATTACAGGTGAGAGCCACCACACCCAGTATTACCAAAAAATTTAAAATATTGGCCAGGTATGGTGGTGCATCCCCGCAATCCCAGCCACTCAAGAGGCTGAGGCAGGAGGATCATTTGGAGGCTGCAGTGAGCTGTAATGACACTCCTGCACTCAGCCTGGACCACAGAGACCATCTAAAAACAAATAAGCCCCTCAAACTCCTACAACTCAATAAGAATAAGAAGATAGTATCCAATTACAAAACTTCGCTTTATGAAAATAAAGGAAAAGCCAGTAAGCACGTGAGAAGGTGCCTAATATCCCTGGTAAGCACAGGTCAGCACCCTAAGGGACAATCATCACACGGCTGTTAGAATGGCTGAAATGAAACACCCCAGATAATACAGAACAGGGCAGTGCTGCCACCCCACACACAGGCAGAAGCTCACAGAGGCGAGCACACATCTCCTCTGTGGCCAGGCACTCCCAAGGAGTGAAAGCTGCACCCAGAGAAAGCCCTAGATGGGAGAGGCCACAGAGCTTTACACACAAACTAGAGAGAGCCCAATGTCTACCCACAGGGCAGGTTAGATAAGCATGGTCTCTTCTCACAAAGAGCACTGTGCGCAGAGGAAAGAGGAATTCTGCTACATGCAGTACACAGATGGCCTCAGACGCCCCGTGCCACACATGGCAGGACTGACAACCCTGACTGTAGGGGGATGGCAACCTAAGACGGACCAGGGGGGGGGGGTGGGGCACGCAGGGACCTCAAGTTAGCAAGGACGCCAGCCAGGGGCTTGTGGAGGTAAAGACGAAGATGACCATACAGCATGTGAACAGGCCTCACAGAATTCAAAAATGAGTTAAAACCCCTCAACAGAAAGGTGTCAAGTGGAAGGTATAGAGGTCTCCAATGGCCGAGGCTCTCCTGAAGGGCGGGGCAGGGGCATGCTCCATGGCAGAGGCATCTAGGGGGAGCTCTGGGAATGCCAGCAGTGAGACCTGGACCGACCAGCACACGGCATGACCCTGCCATGTGCACACCGCCCAATGGCCCGTGGGGAGCCATGGAGGGGAGGTGCTGCTGGGAATGGTGTGGGCCCCTGGGTGCCACAGGATGCTGGGCCTCCCTCAACTCACTGCCCAGCCTGCCACAAAGCTCCCCAGGGACAGAGACCATCCCACCACCCCCTAGGACGGAAGAACTGAAAAGGGCAGCACCACGCAGCCATCTCTCAGGACTCCACCAGGCACACACTGAGCGCAGAGAGGCGCTCCTCACCGCACCAGGCACACACTGAGTGCAGAGAGGGGCTCCTCACCACACCGGGGCATTTAACACATTTAGCCAAAAAAGGATTACTACCTCCTAAAGAAACTGCTGAGACTCAAGTAGAAAAAAAAAAGGAAAAGTTGGCAAAAGAAATGAACAGGAATTTCACTGATGAGGAAGTACAAATGGCCTAAATTAGTAATCAGAGAAATTCAAATGAAAAACCATGATACCATTTCACACCCACCACATTGGCAAAAATTAAAAGTCAGACAAGTGTTGGCAAAAATAGGGAACAAGGGGGACTCACACCCCACCAGTGGGGGCTTAAGTTGGCCCCATGCTCTGGGAAACTGCCCACAGCACGCTGTCTGTGCACACGCCCCTCACTCTGAATCCTACTCCAGCAGCCCACAGGGAGGCACGTGCGGAGGACAGGACAGAGCATCTACAGCAGCTCATGCCTAACTAGCTGGAAACAAGCCAAGGCCCCTTGACAGAAGCAATGACGCACCGGGAACACAACACAGCAGCTAACTCGTCAAAGCCACCAGCACAGACGCAGCTCAGACACCTGACGACTGGGCAAAAGCAAGAAGTAGGGAAGAATGCAGGGAGAAGGAAACCTTTCCCATCAAGTCCCCAAACGAGCAGGCCTAAGTCACAGGGTGCATGTTCAGCTGGGACAGGGGGAAGGCAAAGTCGGCCCCCTGACAGCTGCTCCCCAACCCACCGTCCTCCTGCCTCACCCTGGCTCCCACACCCCATCCAGGCCACAGCCTTCAGCTCCTACTGGCCTGTGCAGGTGCCCATCCTGCTCTGCTCCCACACACCCCCTCTGTCTCTGCACAGACCCCAGACTGGACTTTCTAGACCCCTCCAGAACAGAGCCCAGCCCCTCCTACCACACTTCCCCACCTCCCTCTGGTCAAAGACTTCTGTGCTCATTTGGGGAGCCTCAGGAAGCTGCTAAAGAGATGCAGGAAGGGGAGGCTGTACTCTGTGCCGACTGCAGTGCTGGGGGCAGGCATAAAGGCATGTGAGGAACCAGGAGAGGTCCCAGGGCCCATGACCTAGCATGGTGGGAGGCCTAACGCACCCATGGGCAAGCATCAAGACCAGGAAAGGAAAGGGGGCCGGGCCTGGAGAGATGCTCCTGAGTTTGGCTTTGAGGCCCCAAAGAGAGGTAACTAGGAAAGTCTGGAGTCTTTCTGCACCCCCAACCCCACTCTCAGAAGTACCTGTTGAAGGCGCCTGGGTAGAGAATGGGAGGCCCACCTGAAGGGGTCCCCTCCATGGCCACTTCCTGTGCTTGGATGGCACTAACGGTTCCTCTACAGAGGGCTGCATCTCCCCACCAGGAGCTCTCACCCTCACTTGCAGCCCTCCACCCCCCACTCTTGCCTAGTGACTATTTCAGAACCAGAACCTCTTGGCAAGTGTCTCCCCCCCCCCACACGTTAGCCTGGGAACTCCCTAAGTAGGAACAGAATTAAGAAATCACAGGAGTTTCCAGCTAAACCAGGATAAACCGGGAAGCTGCTAGTCCAGGTGGAGTCAGGCTGTCCACAGTGCTCATCAGTAGGTAAACCTTGCCCAGTCGTCACCGCAGGATAACTGGGTGCGCCCTTCCCAAATGGATAGCAGCGAGCCCTTTGCAATGGCAAACAGCGGGTGGCAGAGAGCAGACCGACTTCGGAGCTTCTCCACGTTAGCGGACAGGAGGGACAGGCAAGTGAGCCAAGACCCTGAACCAAGGACGAATACAACTGGGGTTGTAAGTTGGCCTGTCCTCCAAGCCTTGTGCGCCGAGGGTCATTCCAGGCCCTCGAGTTTGACAGCATAGCTGGATGCGAAAAGAAATCTGCGGTACCGGACGAGAGAGGAAACACCCTCTGCCAGCCGCTCTGCCAGGAAGGTGTGCGGCCGCAGGCTAGACAGCCGCAGGCAGGACGGAGCCCAAGCGACGCCGAGTCCTTCCAAAGCCCCACGCAGCCCCTCCCCGGCTCGGAACCCTCGGGGCCCCCGGGCGACGCACGCCCGGCTGCAGCGGGGGGTAGACCTGCTCGGCGCCTTGGGCAGGCGAGCGCCGACGCGGTGCGTGCGACGGGGCTTGGCTCGACGGCCCGGCGGGCCTGGCCCAGGACAGGTGCGCGGCGCGAACAAAGCGCAGCTGGCGCGGGAGCGTACCTGGGCACGCAGCTCGGGCTGGAGCCGTCCACCTCCCAGGTGGCGAACAGGTTCATGGGCACCGGCGTGTTGAGCGCGCCGGGCGCGCCGGGGAGGCCGAGGCGGCCCCTCTCGGCCATGGCGCCGGCCCCGCCG